AAAGCATTTGGGGATGTTGTTTCATTGGACACAACCTATCTCACAAACAAATATGATATGCCGTTTACTCCATTTGTAGGAGTTAATCACCATGGCCAGTCAATTTTGTTTGGTTGTGGGCTGCTATGTAATGAGAACACTGAGACATTTTTGATTGTTTTAATTTATATATATGTTTGTGGACAATATTTGTAAAGTTTATTTTGATAGTGAATATGCACAGGTTAGCCCAATGCAAATATTGGACAATATTAGAAGCACATCTCTTACTCAATCAGGAATGGTGAACAACATACGTAGTCAAACTTCGACAATTGGATCAAAATTTGTTGATCTGAATGTAGATGCAGATCCAAATGGCCCATTTTTTTTTTGTTAGTTTAGTAGTACTACTTTGATGACTTTGGTTTGTAAACAATGGATGGTTTGGTTTGTAAACGTTGGTTTGAATTAAACTGAATTCAATGTAATTGAATTTTGTTCATTTTGGTTGTTAAGTTTTAGTAGCGCATTTGTTCGTTATGGTATTACATATTATTTAGGTGGGCATGTTTTGCTTATAGTTCCTTGTACACTAAATGGCTACTGCTGCATTTATTTTCTAACAACCCCAACAATCACTTTTCATTCCAATTTATAGTCCAACAGCATTCAAAACAAGTCCACTATTCCAACATTTGTATTTCAACACTCTAGCATCTCTATTGGAATGCAACATTGAAAAAAAATGCACTATTCTAGCAACTGTGTATCATATAGTCCAGCATTGAAAACAGGTGTTCCTGTTGTCGACCCTCCCATAACTAGGTTTCAACCCTTAGCTCACTGAAAATTGGTGTCGACCCTTTCATATCTTGGTGTTGACCATTTGCTGTTGAATTCTCTAAGCCTTGTATACTGAAATATAGTGTTGATCCTCTTCATTCTTGGTGTCGACCTTTAGTATACTGAAATTTGGTGTCGACCCTAGTAAGGCTTGGTGTTGACCTTTGGTTGTTGCAACACTTAGGCATTGTGTACTGCTTTCTGGTGTTGACCCTTGCTGTTTTGGTGTCGACCTTTGGACCTGTTTTAAGAAAAAATAACCTTTTGCACACTTATACAAATTCAATGTTTTGAGGTGCCAATTTTTATGAGAAAATGACAAATTTGAAGCATTCCATTTTTTGAAACAATGAAAAACAACAATATAATATAATTTTGAAAATTTTGAAAATTTTAAATGAGTTCAAAATATTTGTCGATTATCAAAATCAATAAGAATTTAAATATGAATAACCTTAGGGCTAACACATGACAACACGACATTCAATTCATGATAACATTGAAGAGGTAACACATATACTTGATCCATCATGTCTAGTACATGCATAATTACATTCATCAAATTCCCCAAAAAACTAAATTTTTTAAGTAATTTACATTATAAAGTACAAAATGATACAAAATACAATCACATAAATCATCGTCTTGGAATTATTTTCCATCATTTGAAGCCTTCTACCATGGTCATGAATTTTATTGTCCATCTCTGAAAGCCTTGTCCTTACATCATTGAATTCTTCTGTTCATAGCGTTACAAAGTCTAGTATTGGAACGGATTATGGAGGTAACGTCCTCATCATCATCGTCTGCAAACTTGAAGTAATTGCGGTGTTCCTTGTTACTCTACAAAGCATGACAATCAGTTAGGCAGATTACGCAAATAATTTTCAAAATACGAAAAGGTTTATTTCATAACACATACTTACATATTTTGATAGACAAACAAAGAACAAACATCCTTGATTTTCATTCTCATTAGTTCGTACAATATACATTGCAGCTGTTCTTCCACAGTCACACATTTTTGGTTTTAATCTAATGTTGTTGTTGTTAGTAGAAGAAGAAGCCATTTTTAATCTGCATAAACAATGAGAATGTAATATGCAGTTACAAAACATATTACATTAAGTTGTTTTCAATCTAACCATGCCACCTTGATGAATGTAATATGCAGTTATAGACCATTAAGTTGACAATTTGGATGTTGTGAAATTAACAAAATATGTTAATGACAGGTTATAGATATAGAAGATATACCAAATTCAATCCTTATTAGGTCACCAAACATACCAATGAATTGAACTTGTTTTAGTTTGCATTCAATTCTCCTTGTAAAACATAATGGTTGGCTCATCACAAGGTGGTTGCTACTGTAAGGTTGCTTCTCAAGGGTGTTTCATATAGTCAAAGGACTGCCCAGAACTTAGGTGTGTAAATTTCTTGTATACAACCAAAGTAAAAAACAAATTCAGAAGCAATACCACATTTAACAACAAACATTGTTGAGGAAAATTTCAGCAGCAAAACAAGATTTAGTAGCAAAAATTCACCAGCAAACCAATATGTAGCAGCAAAAATTATTGGCAAAAAATTCAGTAGCAAAACAAGATTTTAGCAGCAAACATTCTTGGGGAAAAATTCACCATCAAAACAATATTTAGCAGAAAAAATCATTGGGGAAAATTCAGCAGCAAAAAAATAAAAATAAAATACAATACATCAGAGAGTCAGGGAAAAGGGAAAAACACGAAACCCCCATTTCTTGAATCTTCAAACCCTAGTTTTGCGATGTCGGGTCTACTTGAGATTCGTTTTCAATTGGTCGGTAATCCGACGTATGACAAGTTTCTGGCAATGAGAGGAGACGGATGAGCGTAGTCGAACAAGAAGAGAATGAGAGGATAGTCGGATAAGAGTCTAGAGCAGAGTATGAGAACTTTCCAGTTTGGTTTGCGATGAGAGAGGAGTCAAATGGAGTAGGATGTCCGCGTTAGAGAGGTAGTCAGATGAGGGAGGGATGGAAGCGATAGGGTTTCAAGTGGAGAGGAGAGAGAATGAGTTCAAACTTTGGGTGTCCAACTTTGGGTTTGAGAGACAGAGAGATAGAGAAGTAGTATGGGCGCTTGAGTCCAAACTTTCGGGCCATTTCAAGCCCCTCCTTCTGAGCTACAAAACATTATTGTTTTTATAAAAATAATTTAACAATCCCATCATTAATCATAGAGTATGAGAGAAGTTAAAAATGGTGCAGCAGTAGGTATAAGAGAAGTCAAAAGACTTATGGGTTGGGAGAAGTCAATAAATGTTAAGATTTTTTTTTTAAATCAAAAAATTAAAAAGTTAAGATTGAGATATTAGAGTTCTTACAAGATTTGTAAACTCTTTTCCTTAATATATTGATATATATTTTTATAATTGTCCCAAAAGAAAAAAATAAATAAATAAATAAAAGATTCATGAATGATTAGATTGTGTTTGGCGTAAGAAATGGACTTTTGGGCTCCAAATCCTCAAGGCAATTTAGGAAATTAATAACTGTGTTTGGTTTGAGTTTTCTACATTAAGTTTTTTGAAAATTAATTTTTTTTATTTTCATATTTTTTTGTTTTTAGTAAATATTTTCTAAATTTTAAACATTTTTTATAAATTTTTTTAGATGCACTTTACTTAGATGTATCTAAAAAGTAAAAAATTTGTGAAAAAATATTTTAAAAAATTAATAAATACATAAAAATAAAAAAAATGTACTGAATTATTGTATTTTTTTTACTATTTTGGGAAAATCGGTCTAAGGTCCCTATCCAACTTTTAGTAATGGATTAGGTCCACAATCTGTTCTTTTGTAGTCTAAGGTCCCTCACCCCATTCCCTCTCTCTTTCTACTCACTTTCTCTCTCTACATGGGCTCTCTGTTTCTGCTTCACATTCAAATGGCCAAGACCAACAAGGTCTCCACAGATCGTGACGCATGGCGGCGATGGAGAAGGGGAGGAAGAAGAAGTCGGCGTCGGAGGGATTAGTGGTGAGGAAGAGGAGGAAGAAGATCTTCAGAGAAACAGAGACACAGGAAGAAGAGATCTGTGGAGGTTTTACATGGAAAGGGCATCGAACAAGGTCGGACGAGTGACTGACGATTCGGGAAGATCATTCTCTGCTCTCTCATTCTCTAGCTTTTTTGCCATAATAACATCGGCAATGGGCCAGGTTTCTCGTGAACTGGCACTCTCAGCAGGGGATTCCCGAACCTGATTGTAATTTGATCTGGGTTCTTGAAGATCAGGCGATCCACGAGCTTCTGAAGCTGCTAGGAATAGGGATATATGTAATCCATTGGTTCGTGGTAGCTGACATGGAGGCAGCATATTTGGTGAAGGTTGGTGGTGGATGTTTGATCCAGATGACGTTCCCATCGAGTAAGGCTAATCTTGAAGCCAGATGAGAAGAAAAGTAGAGAAACTCATCCAGAGAAATTTGGTCCAGAGAAATTTCTCTGAGCCAGAATTTCTCTGACCAATTTTCTCTGCACTGAAATTTCTTTGGACCAAATTTCTCTGGACCAATTTTCTCTAGACTGAAATTTCTCTGGACTGAAATTTCTCTGGATCAAGGTTGAGGGACCTTAGATATTATGAAAATATTGTTGAGGGACCTTAGACATTATGAAAATATTTGGTGTCCTTTATGCTATAAAATCATAATACCAGGGACCTTAAAAAAAAACCCCTAATATTTTTGGTATTTAGTGAATTTTTAAAAAAAAAATTTTACAATTTTTTTTACTTTTTAGTTATATTTATGTTAGGTGTGTCTAAAAAGTAAAAAAATTACTTAAAATATTAAAAAAATTCAGTAAAAATAAAAAAATATGAAAAATTAGGAAGGAAAATTTTCTGAAAAATATTTTTTGAAAAGTAAAAATAAACAAGGTGAATTTTAACTTTTAATTCAATTTAATTCAAATTATCTTTTATATTTTTTATACTAAAAAAGTCATAAAAAACGAAAAAATTAATTTTTAACCAATTTCTAGAATCATTCCATAGTGATTACCTATTTTAATTAGCATCACGCGCCTACAAACGAACGTGGGACAAGGACTTGCCTACCCCATTGATCTTCCACTCTCTCTCTGTCTCTCTGTCTCTCTCCATAATATAACCCCCACTCCCCCCACTCCAACACCATCGGAATCCTCTCTCTCTCTCTCTCTCTCTCTCTCTCTCTCTCTCTAGGAAAATCACTTTTTCTCTCTCCTCGGGAAAGGCCGAGAATCGGTGGTTTCGCAGGGATTTACGACGCCATGAAACCCTTGAGCTCATTATCATCATCACCATTACACTGCAATGCACCAATGCCAACACCACCATCATCATCTCTCATACCTCCTCTCTTCATCTTCCACCCTCTCACTCCCCTAGTCTAGTCCCTTCACACACACAACCCATCTCTCTCTCTCTCTCTCTCTCTCTCTCTCTCTCTATATATATATATGTATATATTTACACACCCATTTTGCATTGCAGCTTTAGCATTTAGGTTGTCCGTACAATGGAGTCTCTGGGTTCTTCTCATTTCTAGCTCTTTTGCTTGTTAGGGTTTGTTACTAGTTGTAGAGACAGTGTTGAATGTCTAGGGCTTCTGGGTTTGTGTTTAGACTCGTCTTTTTATTTATTTTGTTCAAGCTTCTCTTAGGGTTTTATATATAACCATGTCTTGGGCTGACTCTGTTGCCGACCCATACGCAAGACCGATTCGATCTTCTTGGCGTACCTACGTCCCTCCCCATCTCAGACCCAACACCGACAATGCTGTTTTTGGGAACTCCAATCACTTTGGCTCGTCTTCTTCTGCTAACCGGTTCGACCGGTCTGGTCGAGCCGGTTCGAGCCGCGGCCGTGGTCGCGGTGGCGGTTTCCGTGGCCGTGGCCGATCGTGGGGTCGACAGACTCAATTCCATGACGCCCCGAATTCAGACCCATTTGATATTGTTGAGAAATTTGATGAGCTTGAGGTGATCGAGGACTGTGATGATGTTGTTGGAGGAGGAGGAGGAGGAGGAGGTTTAAATTTCGATGCGTATGAAGACATTCCTGTTGAGACCAGTGGCTCCGACGTACCTCCTCCGGTGAATTCTTTTGCAGAAATCGATTTGGGAAAGGCTTTGATTGATAATATCAAGAGGTGTAAGTATGTGAAGCCCACACCTATTCAGCGACACTCCATACCCATTTCAATTGCAGGGAGGGACTTGATGGCTTGCGCTCAAACCGGGTCTGGGAAAACAGCTGCATTTTGTTTTCCGATCATAAGTGGCATTCTCAGGAACCAAACAATGTCACCGGTGTCGAATCGGATCAATATTGCTTACCCTTCTGCTCTCATACTGTCCCCAACTAGAGAATTGTCTTGCCAGGTGAATTATGTGATTTTTTTTTATAGATTTTGTAGGTCTTTTGTGGTTAAAATTGACTGAAATGTATTGGGTTTTGTGGGTTTTTGTAGATACATGATGAGGCCAAGAAGTTCTCTCATCAAACTGGTGTCAAGGTTGTTGTTGCCTATGGAGGGGCACCCATTTCCCAGCAGGTTTGTGGATTTTGTTTTTGTTCTGTTTTATGTCTACAGTGTTGTTAGATTATTAGTTAAAATTTTTTGTATAGTCAGCCATTGTATGAATAAGAAGTTTTGTCGCCTTCAGGTTGGGTTGTGTTTGTTCTGTTATGCATTACTTAAATTGTTTGTTGCTGATTTGTATTACTAAAATTTGTATCCTATGAAGGGTTTTAGGTATTTTTGTTAATGAGGACATTAATTGGGAAAGCACCAAATGAAATAATTAAATGGTAATACATCAACTTTAACTTCCATGTTCTTGATGGTGGGCCTGGTCGTGTCTCTCACTGTCACCAAATGAAAGTTGCATCCTATTGGGGCATGATTTCTTTGACTAGGTTATAGTGCTAATTTGTATTTCCTTCCCTTGGATTTGACGTTTTGGATTTCTTTCTTGTGCAATTGAAGTTGGAGTGTTGGAGTGTTGCAAGAATTTTAATATGTAGAAGACCAGATTGAGGGTTGTGAAATGTGAAATATCAATTATCTCTCATGGTTCTCATTCCTCAGAAGACCAAAAAAATTATAATTTCTATAGATATTAGATGTACTCTTCAAGTTCAAAGTTCCTTTGATTTTTTTACTTGTGTCCAACACATTCCACGCACTTTTCTGTTTCTGTTTTTGTTGGTAAATGGGCAAACCCCTTTTTTCTAGATTCAATATTCAGTAAATTTTCTACATGTTTTGTTTAATATTGCGGCTTCAATTTTTTATTATTTGTCCTTTTTTAAGGGAAAAAAAAAGAAGGTGTGCAAGAGTACACTTGGCTTCCACCAATGTGAATTTTTCAATTGATTGATAAATTATTAAACTGTTGCTGTAGATAATGTGGGTGTTTGGGAAGTGGATTTTTTTTTGTAGTTGTTTTAGTTGTAAGATATCATTGGAGAAATTTTTTTGTGTTTGGAAAGATAGTTGGGTTTTTTTGTGGTTGGATGTGATGTTTGTGAGAGAAAAAGTCAAATGATTATGGAGTTTGATGTGATATTTTGTTTGGATTTGTTTTTTTTGATTTTGTAACCAATTTGTCTTTTAATGAAAAAAAACCAAAAAAAAAACCGAAAAACCTCCTTCCCAAACAGCGCCAATGTTTTAGAGCAGTGATTTAATTCGTACTGTTTAATCGTTTTCTTTGTTTACGTTTTGGATTTCTTTCTTGTGCAATTGAAGTTGGAGTGTTGCAAGAATTCTAATATGTAGAAGACCAGATTGAGGGTTGTGAAATGTGAAATATCAATGATTTCTTTGATTTTTTTACTTGTGTCCAACACATTCCATGCACTTAACTTTTTTTGTTTCTGTTTTTGTGGGTAAATGGGCAAACCTGTGCTTATGCAGCTCCGTAATCTGGAAAGGGGTGTGGACATATTAGTTGCCACACCGGGGCGCTTAGTAGATATGATAGAGAGGGCAAGAGTTTCTCTTCGGATGATCAAGTATTTGGCTTTGGATGAGGCTGATCGAATGTTGGATATGGGCTTTGAGCCCCAGATTCGAAGGATTGTTGAGCAAATGGAGATGCCTCCACCAGGTGCAAGACAGACGATGCTTTTCAGTGCCACATTTCCAACTGAGATACAAGTTGGTTTACTCAACTCCTTGATAAATAACATAACTCTATGGAAGTCTGTTTCGTTAGCCTTTATGCATGATGTTGGATTATGCAACCAACATGAAGTCAATTTTAGCTCCAGATGAAGCACAATTCAATCTGAGTTTTTCATATTTACATATATATAGGAGGACATTATTTCTAATTCATGCCAACCGCAAGTAGAACTAGTTCACAAGTTTTAATTAAGAAGCCTTGACCGAAATCAAATTGCATTTTGTTGCATTTTGGTTTATTAGTATAAGTTAACTTGTTGAATGGTTGGTATTTATGCTTTTCTTTAGTATAAGTTATCATGTGGATGGATCATAACCACTAATTTATCTCTTGCAGAGGCTTGCTTCGGACTTTATGTCAAACTACATATTTCTTGCTGTTGGAAGAGTTGGTTCCAGCACTGATCTAATTTTTCAAAAAGTTGAATTTGTCCAAGACATGGACAAAAGAAATTATTTGATGGATCTTCTTCATACCCAATGTGATAATGGAGCCCATGGAAAGGTAAATTGTATAGTGGCAGTAGTTTCACCATTGTTAGACAATTGACGATTAATCTGGTTAATCTATCTGACTAATGCAACTCTGTTATTTGTGATGCAGTGTGCCTTGACACTGGTTTTTGTAGAGACAAAGAGAGGGGCTGATGCTTTAGAGCGCTGGTTGTCCATGAATGGTTTTCCTGCCACAGCAATACATGGTGACAAAGTGCAAATGGTGAGCTAATTCTTTGTCTTATTTTCATTTGGATCTTTTGTGCTTTTGCTGTTTTGCGATGCCCTGAACACTTGTTCGATGGTTTTGATTTTTGTCTACTGGGGGTTCATTTTCTATTTATCTGTTTGTTTTGCGTCTACACTGATAAATTGCTTAATCTGAGCGAGATGACAACTATATTATCCAATGTTTCCTTTTCTTAAAATGTTATGTACCTGATTCTGCAAGTGTCTGTTGGCAATCTATACTGGTTGACCACTACTGTCAAAATGCCTCAATTATGAGTGGGATTATATTGCATTTGACCGAAGATAGTTCACACAGCAAAAACTCTTGTTATACTTGTAGATCATTGCTCTTAGCAGTTAGAATAGCAGAATTGGATTTTTCCTGTGAATCTGGAATGGAATTGTTTGGATACATCTTTAAAAATCATTTTCCACTGAAAGGCTAGAACTTATTAACCTAGTACCTTGAAAGTTTTGTTAGGGTATGTGATTTGAGTAAGAAAATTAACTAGTAATTTCCGCTAAATACTTTTGACTTTGCATTCCTGTGTAAATTTATATTCATTTGAAACCCAAATATTTTCTATGGCCATTTAAAGAAAAAAAAACTTTGGAGATTAATTTCACCATTTGAGTTCAGGTATCTAACATATTCATATTTAACAATTTTTCTCTTTGAAATTCAAGGAGAGAGAACGTGCTTTGAAGTCCTTCAAAAGTGGATTCACCCCAGTCTTGGTTGCAACAGATGTTGCTGCACGAGGACTGGACATCCCACATGTTGCCCATGTCATCAACTTTGACCTGCCAAAAGACATAGATGACTATGTTCATAGGATAGGACGAACGGGCCGTGCTGGTAAATCAGGTCTAGCAACAGCATTTTTCAGTGAGAAGAATATGACCCTTGCAAAGCCACTTGTCGAACTCATGCAGGAAGCAAAACAAGAAGTTCCACCCTGGCTTGCTCAATATGCGGAGACATCATCAGCCTATGGTAGTGGTGGTGGTCGTCGTTATGGAGGTAGCAAGTTTGGTGGCCGTGACTTTCGAAATAGTACCCAGTTCAACAGTGGGGATTATAATTATTCTAGCTCATATGCCGATGCTGTTGCTGTAGCTGATTCTTATGTTGCCACGTCTAATGCGTGTACTTACAATACTCCTGTCACTACTGATTATGCTGCTGCTGGTGTTGTTGACTCTTTTGCTGCTGATTCACGTGGTTTTGCCTTTGATCAAGAACCTATCGTTGCTAGTGGTTGGGATTAAGTGCATGCACATGGTTCTTTTGTTTTTGGCTTTGTCAATTGCAGTAGAACAGTATGGTACTAGTACATGTGGGGTATATAATAGGTTTACTGTTTACCTACAAAAAATGATCGTAAAAGGCTAACGACAGGATGGAACGACAGATGACAATTAGGATCATAACAACTACAAAATGCTTCCCAGTTTTGTTGGGCAGACTATTGAGTTCTGACTTTCCTTGTTCACTTGGTGACATGACATTGTTGACTGTAGATTCTTCTGGGAAAGGAGTAAATACAGAAGTATATGTTTCTGGTTGTTCATTTTGCTGGGATTTTACCATTTTGTAATGGGGATTCTTGCTCGAGTACTTTTATGAATCGTCACTTATTAATACAAGTGGTTGCCAATCTAATCACATTTTTGTTAATACGTATTAATATTATATCATCTATGCTTAAATCTTCCAATTTTAATCAGAATGACTTGCATTTTAATTGGGAACATTTTTTTCCGTTACCCAAATGATATGTTATACTGGATTTATCAAGGGAACGGAAAGTGGAGAAGGGAAGTGAAAGAAATGCAATTAGTTGCTTTTGTTTTATTTTTCTTTTGAGCAGGTGTTGGGAGAACCTTGTAAGTTTTGAAGTCTAATTCTACATTATTTTTGAAATTGTTTGTGATAATAACGAACACGGTTGAAATGGATGTTCAATTCAATTATTCTATGCCTATATTATAGTTTTAGGCTTTTATGCACATTTTCATTTGATGGTCAGATGAAAACTCCATTGGTTGATGGTTTCATTTTTATGCTCAACATTTGATGATCATATCGGTTTGTTTGATGATTTATGGCTGCATGAGATTGGACGAGAAAGCTGTGCTGTGAAAAGTACTGTCTCTAGATAGAAATGGCAGTAAGAATATTTTTGTTCTAGTTTTCTTCCTCTAACAGAGTATCATCACTCAGCTGGAAATATTTGGATTCCAGTTTCTGAGCTCAAGCCAACAGGGTTATTGAGATGGGAAACTATGGAAGTTGGATAAAATCTAAAATTTGTTAGAATTTTTGTTTTACAAAACAAAAGTGCTAGAGACCCAGATCCTACAACCATATTAGTATTGTGTATAAATTTTTGTAGTATTTTTGGAATCACTAGTAATGCTATTTACAAAATGAACGGTTTAATTATTTTGAACACACTCAAGAGTGGGTTTCACCTTTTTGCTTCCAACAGGGCCTGGCTGAGAGGGTAAGTGTGTCAATGGATCAAACATTTGACAGTGTTTCTGAGCGTGGGTTTGAGATTGAGCCTTGGGAAGTGAGTTTTGTGACTTTTTTTTGGGCTAAAATAGTTTTTTTTTAGTGTAATAAGATGAAACATTACATTTAACTCATAATTATTACCTTCTTTCTCTAAAAAAAATTTAAAAAGTTAAAAGTTCTTCTCAAATTAAATTTTTTAACTCTAGGCTAAAATAATTAAAAAAATCAAAATATCAAAAAGTCAAAAGCTTGAGTGGCTTCGTTTGGGAAGTTGTTATTTTAGTAGACTATTTTAATTTTTGACTATTTTAGTAGGCTAAAATTTTTGTGTTTAGGAAGATTGGATTTTTTTGTGGTTAGATGTGATGTTTGTGAGAGAAAAAGTAAAATGATTATGGATTTAATGTGATATTTTGTCTTATTAACTATTTTAATCTATTTTATCTTTTTATAAATTTTACCCTAAACTAAACTACACCACCAATATGAAGAGAATATTATAACTGACTTTGTGACTTTTCAATTTATTTATTTATTTTTTTTTTTTAAGAAAGCCTGAGGTAAAGTTACTGAAGAATGGGTCATTTTCAAATTGCTTTTGATGAGTAGATTGCCAAGGCACTGTAGCCTAGGGATCTCAAATTCTTCAAAGCCCTGGGTGAAATTTTATTTTGCCTCCTAAGATCATCTCGAACGTGGCATCAGATTTAATATCAAATTTAAATTTGATAAAAAAAATTACTTTTTTTGTTTCAATGATTTCATCAAACTGATATCAAATTGAGAACGGAGCAAATTTTTCACCAAATTGAGAATCTGCGTGAGCCTTCACCATTTCACTGTGCTATAACGTTGCAAGTGGGCCCACCGGTCGACCAATCGATCGCCCGAAAAAGGTTCAAACAGTTCAAATAGGTAGGTTCAAACAAGTTCAAAAGGAAAAAAAAAATATTTTTTTTGCCTTACCGGTCGACCGGCCGGTTGACCTGCTGGTCGACCCCTGCCTTTGATGACAACCATTGGAGCAGCTAATATCAAATTGAGAAAATGATACTTTTTTTACTCAGATTTGATTAAAAAAAAAGTGAACCATTGGAGATGCTCTAAGTTATATCTTGATGATCAATTTAATCCCAGTATTTTTTTATAATTTTAATTTTACATTTAAATTATTTAATTTTGGATCAATTTCACTCTTGCCGTCAGCTATCGTCTTTATTTGAGATTTCATTTTACCTCCTAAATAATTTTCAAAATATCACTTAGAACCTTAAATAATATAAAGTTTGAAGGTCTAATTGATATTTTTGAGATAGTTTAGAGACAAAATAAAATTCAAATGAAATTTCAATGCCACGTCATTAACTTCTGTTTGATTATAAGCGCCAGTTAACGACAGTGTTGAAATTAATTCAAAATTAAATAATTTAAGTGTAAAATTGAAATTACAAGAAGTACAAAGGTTAAATTGATCATCGATGTATAGTTTAGAGGATAAAATAAATTTTCTCAAAACTCTTCCATAATTTTTGCATGGAATATATTTTATTAAAGATAATGGTGTGTTATATCAAATGATAAATATATGTGTGTGATAATATATAAATAGAAAATTCATACATAATTTTTATATATAATAATGTGGTTTAATGTTAACAAAAACCCTTCATATTACGAATGTAATAAATGACCCTCACTCCTATTTATATGAGACATGTAAAACAAAACTAGAAACAAATTTGGTATTTTTGAAAAACTTTTTCTTTTTCCCACCCAACTATTTTTATCAGAACAATAAAAAAACATATAGCTTCTACTAGTCACTAAGCTCAAAGAGAATGAAAGCTTGGGGGGCAATTGAGAGGGAATAAAAATCACCACAGGAACTATGGGTCCCAACACTATCATGTGGCGTAGTTATGGATTATCACATATGACAGTGGTCAAATCTTCATAAAACACTACAACAATATTATGTATGGAGTAGAACTTGTCGTAAAATGAGATTGTATTGATATAAAAGTCTGAAACAACAAGAGATTGTTTGAGAAAAGACTTTTGAAGTACTTAGACTACATGCCAGGCAAGACACTAGATTATTATAAATAGAACATGCCCCTATGAGTTGAGGGACGCTGTTTTCTATATTTAATTTGTCAATTAAATATTTTTATAATATTAAAGATTAGTGACTGAGAGTGTTTTATTTTAAAAGTGGCTATTATGTGGTATTTCTAATCATCTTCTTTATTGAATTTCTTTATCATCACGTAACAAAATTTTCTATGTCCGTATATGAAATATCATGGATAAAATTTTGGATAGTGGACAGTCACTGTATTATCTCATGGTTTGCAATCTACCTATGTTTGGAGGGGGGAGGGAGGGAGTTCGGATCCCCTCCTTGAGAATCCTACTTCATCTCCTCCTTGCAGCAGCTAAGATCAGCCGTTGCACATCCAACGGCCATAAATAAATAAATGAAATTGAAATTTCAGAAGATTCCCACCCGTTGCTATAGTTATACATTCACTTCACTCTTACTCTCACTTTCACTCAGCCTCACACTCACCCGTCCTCCTCTACCGAACCCACCCTCACCGGCGACCAGTCCTCCAGACGGCACCAGCGACCAGTCTCGACGGTGCACCACTCCAGCCCTAATATTCTCTGCTTCGTGAACCATAGCCCCACCGCAACCACCATCGGCTAAGCGAAGAAATTTCTTGACGAGAACGTGAGTTCTCAGGCCATAGATAAACCAGGTTTGTCTTCGAAACGCTGAAATTAAGAAGTTAGGGTTGTGTGATTGAGATTGAGAAAATAGATTTGAAATTTCAAAATTAGGGCTTTGATTTGAGATTCCAACGGCTAAAAATTTAGGGCTTTGATTTGGGTTTTATCTTCTCCTTCTTCTTCTTCTTCTTCTTTTTTCCATCTCTTTGTTACAGGTTTTAATACTTCTTTAGGTTTGTTTTGTTTATTCTTTGTTGTGGGTGTGTTTTTGTGTGTTTTTGATGAATTAGTATCCATAAACCTATTTAATTAGTGAGATAAATTGATTGATGCTCCCTAATTTTCTGTCTTAAATTGATTGATGCTCCCTATTTAATTACTTCCGTAATTTTCTGTCTTAAATTCCAGAGACAACAAGTTCATGAAAATATGAACAATCTGAATACCAATTCTTTAAATCAGTAGCCAATTCACGAAATATGCTCCATGTTTTTGATGAATCAGTAGCCAATTTTATATATTTTTTTATCTCATTACTTAATTGCCTCAAATCTGAACAATCTGAATACCAATTCAACAGTTATGATGTTTACTACTCAAGTGACAATGTGGACCAATAGAATTGAGGTTGGATCATCACATCAGCAAAAAAAAAAGTTAATAACCAACATTGTTTTATGAGTAGTGCTATAGAATTGAGGTTGTGACTAAGAGAGTGTTTGGAATTTTTGTTGTTTGACCTTTGCAATAAGCCAAACAAAAAAAATCACACATATTTAAAGGTAAAAAGATCAGTAAACACTCAGAGCCCAAGATCCCAAATATAGCTTCCAACCAACATTACTGCAACCTTGTAGCTCATTCTCAAATGTACCTACATTGCAAAAAGAATCTACACAGAAAAATTATAGAGAATTTTAAATATCAAATGCATATCATATGAATGGTAATCACTTGTTCCTAAGAGATGGAGCACTAATGAATGATATCATATGAATGCATAATAGCTTATTCATATCATATGAATGATCATATACAAACTGTGTTAGTATTGGTTATGAAAATATAGTCAGACATCTTCCTTGAATATCTAACACTTGGTTAGTGCAGATTTATAATCTGTTTTATTATTCTGTTAAGAATAAAATTCTGTTTTTTTTTTAATTTGTTCTATTTTTAATGTTCTGTAAATTCGTTATTCATTGAAGAGATATATCTAACAAATGAAAGCTTGGGGGGCAATTGAGAGGGAATAAAAATCACCACAGGAACTATGGGTCCCAACACTATCATGTGGCGTAGTTATGGATTATCACATATGACAGTGGTCAAATCTTCATAAAACACTACAACAATATTATGTATGGAGTAGAACTTGTCGTAAAATGAGATTGTATTGATATAAAAGTCTGAAACAACAAGAGATTGTTTGAGAAAAGACTTTTGAAGTACTTAGACTACATGCCAGGCAAGACACTAGATTATTATAAATAGAACATGCCCCTATGAGTTGAGGGACGCTGTTTTCTATATTTAATTTGTCAATTAAATATTTTTATAATATTAAAGATTAGTGACTGAGAGTGTTTTATTTTAAAAGTGGCTATTATGTGGTATTTCTAATCATCTTCTTTATTGAATTTCTTTATCATCACGTAACAAAATTTTCTATGTCCGTATATGAAATATCATGGATAAAATTTTGGATAGTGGACAGTCACTGTATTATCTCATGGTTTGCAATCTACCTATGTTTGGAGGGGGGAGGGAGGGAGTTCGGATCCCCTCCTTGAGAATCCTACTTCACTTCCTACGTGCAACGACTGACAACGGTTATCAAAAAAAAAATATGAAATTAAAATTTCAGAAAATTCCTTCCCTCTGCTATACATACAGAGGTTATACATTCACTCTCACTCTCACTTTCACTCAGCCTCATAGTTACCCTTTCTCGTCTACCGAACCCACCTTCATCGGCGACCCAGACGGCGAACCCACTCCTAACCCCAACTCGCCACTCCAGCCCTAATATTCTCTGCTTCGTGAACCATAGCCCCACCGCAACCACCATCGGCTAAGCGAAGAAATTTCTTGACGAGAACGTGAGTTCTCAGGCCATAGATAAACCAGGTTTGTCTTCGAAACGCTGAAATTAAGAAGTTAGGGTTGTGTGATTGAGATTGAGAAAATAGATTTGAAATTTCAAAATTAGGGCTTTGATTTGAGATTCCAACGGCTAAAAATTTAGGGCTTTGATTTGGGTTTTATCTTCTCCTTCTTCTTCTTCTTCTTCTTTTTTCCATCTCTTTGTTACAGGTTTTAATACTTCTTTAGGTTTGTTTTGTTTATTCTTTGTTGTGGGTGTGTTTTTGTGTGTTTTTGATGAATTAGTATCCATAAACCTATTTAATTAGTGAGATAAATTGATTGATGCTCCCTAATTTTCTGTCTTAAATTGATTGATGCTCCCTATTTAATTACTTCCGTAATTTTCTGTCTTAAATTCCAGAGACAACAAGTTCATGAAAATATGAACAATCTGAATACCAATTCTTTAAATCAGTAGCCAATTCACGAAATATGCTCCATGTTTTTGATGAATCAGTAGCCAATTTTATATATTTTTTTATCTCATTACTTAATTGCCTCAAATCTGAACAATCTGAATACCAATTCAACAGTTATGATGTTTACTACTCAAGTGACAATGTGGACCAATAGAATTGAGGTTGGATCATCACATCAGCAAAAAAAAAAGTTAATAACCAACATTGTTTTATGAGTAGTGCTATAGAATTGAGGTTGTGACTAAGAGAGTGTGTTTGGAATTTTTGTTGTTTGACCTTTGCAATAAGCCAAACAAAAAAAATCACACATATTTAAAGGTAAAAAGATCAGTAAACACTCAGAGCCCAAGATCCCAAATATTGCTTCCAACCAACATTACTGCAACCTTGTAGCTCATTCTCAAATGTACCTACATTGCAAAAAGAATCTACACAGAAAAATTATAGAGAATTTTAAATATCAAATGCATATCATATGAATGGTAATCACTTGTTCCTAAGAGATGGAGCACTAATGAATGATATCATATGAATGCATAATAGCTTATTCATATCATATGAATGATCATATACAAACTGTGTTAGTATTGGTTATGAAAATATAGTCAGACATCTTCCTTGAATATCTAACACTTGGTTAGTGCAGATCTCAAACTAGTTTGGACTTGGAAATGGGAACCATTTTTACTTAAGGCACATGTTGTAGAAATCAACTTTTTTATGCAAGTTTAAGCCACATGTTGACTTTGTTTCTTATGAAAATTTAGCCATATAAGTTTTTATGCCATTCTTAATCATTGATATCAAAACGTTTGGTGATAATCAGACAAGAATGTTCAAAATGTCAAGCACAGTCATTTTGATCCCTTGGCAACTATATTCTTAACCACACTTCACTACTGAAATGAAGTAAAGAACAACTTTCATTAGCACCAAGTTAACCACACTTCACTACTGAACTACATTCTTAACCGCACTTCCATAGAGTGAAAGACACATCAAAGCTTACACCACCTATGACATCTTCCTTGAATATCTAACACTTGGTTAGTGCAGATCTCAAACTTGTTTGGACTTGGAAATGGGAACCATTTTTACTCAAGGCACATGTTGTAGAAATCAACTTTTTTATGCAAGTTTTAGCCACATGTTGACTTTGTTTCTTATGAAAATTTAGCCATATAAGTTTTTATGCCATTCTTAATCATTGATATCAAACGTTTGGTGATAATCAGATAAGAATGTTCAAAATGTCAAGCACAATCATTTGATCCGTTGGCAACTACATTCTTAACCACACTTCACTGCTGAAATGAAGTAAAGAACAACTTCCATTAGCACCAAGTTAACCACACTTCACTGCTAAACTACATTCTTAACCACACTTCACTCCTAATCTCCTTGTTATAATTGATTCTGTTTTCTAGCTGATATTCAATTGATGTACAAAGCCCATCCATACAACTTTTTTCTTTTGTAATTAACAGTGTTGCTGATTCTCTAGTTCTCCCAAAATCCTTAACTACTCTCAAAAGAGAACTAAGGTTCTTAAGATTGTTTAGATAACAATAATAAAAACAAATGATAATCAGAGAAAAATAGAGCTAAACATAATTTTCCAGAATTTTGACTGTAACAATTTGAGAAGGAAGAAAAGGGAGAGGATGACTGTAACAATTTTTTTAGCTAGTAGAATAGGTTGTGTCCTTCCATAGAGTGAAAGACACATCAAAGCTTACACCACCTATTGTTTTGAGATTGTTTGTATTGTGTATGCAGATTTAGAAATAACTTCTTCTTCTACTAATAATAGCAATATAAGATTAAAACCGAGACTGTGCAATTGTGGAAGAACAACTGCCATGTATATTGTAAGAACCAATAAGAATCGAAATCAAGGGTGTTTGTTATTTGTTTGCCCATCAAAATATGTAAGTATGTATTGGAAATATAAATATGAAAGTAGTGACAAATTAATTTGTGTTATTCGACTAACTGATTATCATGCATTGTAGAGTAACACTGCCCATTGCAATTTCTTCAAGTTTGTGAATGAAGATGATGAAGATGTTACGTCCACAATCCGTTCCAACACTAGAGCTTGTGATGGTATTTTAGTAGAAGACTTTAACGAGCTAAGGGCGAGGCTTGATGACGTGGAAAATGAAAATGATGACTATGGTCGAAGGCTTGAAAGGATGGAAAATAATTTGAAGGTGATGGTGTATTTCATTGTATTTTCTATAATTTTGTACTTTATGATGTAACTTATTGTTTGGTTGGTTTCCGGAAAATTTGTCTAATGTTATTATGGATTTTATGAAACTTAATGGATGTATTGTCAACGTTTGTAACATTTTGGCTTTGATGAATATGTGCAATGATTTTAGATGGTTTTCATGAATAGAAATTTGATGAATGTAGTTATGGATTTGAAAATTATAGATGCAATGATTTTAGATGGTTTTCATGAATGGAAATTTGATGAATGTAGTTATGGAATTGATGATTATAGACACAATGATGGTGTTTTGGTTTTCATGAATGGAAATTTGATGAATGTAGTTATGGACTTGATGATTATAGATGCAATGATTTTAGATGGTTTTCATTAATGGAAATTTGATGAATTTAGTTATGGAATTGATGATTATAGAACTTGGAAATTTTAGCATTTTGGTCTTGTTTGCATCAATCTTACCATGATTTGGTTTGGGTGTAGAGATAGTATTTGATGGTGTTAGAGCTCAAAATTCGTATACCAACTGTTCAACTAGCAAATTATCTACACAAGCACACAAGTTATCTACACAAAGCTCAAAGTAAAAAAGTTCACTCAACACAAGCACCTCCTGAAGAACACAAGCACCAAATTTGTAAGGAAAAATGTATAAAAGTTCTGATCAACACAAGCACCTCTTGAAGAACCAACCACTCTCACAAGTTATGTACACAAAACACAAAGCACAAAGTCTCCATTACCAAGTTATGCTTGAGAATACGACTGTAGGTCTTCAAAAAATAAGACACCAATTTGCATAATTTTTCTAACAAATGAAAATGCTGTGGCCCTTTTCTTTCACACAAAAGAAAATCTATAAATTTCAACACACACATTGGTCCATTAACATTAACAAAATGAAGAACAGTGACACTAACAAACCATACAAAGGATAACATCAAGTGTAAATACAAGCCATTAACATTAACAAAATGTGGAACATTTCCACTGTAAATACAAGCCATAACACACACATTCTGGTAGTATTTCAGCAACTACAACAGCAACATCACTTTCTAGTTTCAGCATTAGTTTGATTCACAGTTTAAGCATTAGTTTGCTTCACTTTCCATGAACAATTTAAGCATCAGTTTGCTTCACAGTTTCAGCTGCTAGGACTTTTATTTCTAGTGCGTTTCACCATTTTATGCCTGTCGATAGCCTAAAACGGAAAAAGATAGACTTTCAACAGAATTTTCAAAAACTAAATGAATGAGCTAAACATAATTTTCAGCAACTAAAAACATAGAATTTTCAGCATGTACCAATACAGAATTTTCAGCAAGTAAAAATTAAGAAGACAGCAGCAAATTCAGCAACTAAATACATGCTTTTTCCATAATTTTCAGCAACTAAAAATTAAAAAGACAGCAAGGATGAACCTGGCTACACATTGAACTATTTGATTCTTGAGAATACCGAAACCTAATGTCATATCCACATGAACCTTGAAGTAGTGACTGGAATGTTGGTTGAGCAAAATAACGTTGAAGCATTGAATTTGGCAAAGAATGGCACTACATATATCTCCCGCAAATTGTTTGCCTACAACAATGTCATATATTAGGCTTCGCAATCATGGTTTGAGTCACATATTATATCCACACAAAAAATACAATGTTAAACTAACACTCACATGATATGTGGGATACATCAATGGCGGAGGAATAAAATTACCACTCATGGCCACAGATGGAGGAGCAGGATGAAGATGAGAAAGTGGTTGAAGAGGAGGAACATGTTGATGAACATAGATATCTCCTCCAACAGATAATGGAGAAGGTGTAACTGTTGGACTTGCAATAGATTTCAACAAAGCCAAGCTGTTAGCACGGGATTTTTTTTTTGGAGTTCGCTATCAACGCTACTTCGAATCCACCTTTTACCCTCTTTTTTCCCTTACTAGTTGCCACCTTTTTCTTCATTCCTTTTGGTTGCACAACATGATTCAGATCTTCGCAATCCAATTCAAAGCTTTGGGTTGCATCATCATTACTTACTTCATTTTCAACACCAAAATGAGCACTTAACTTGCGTTCAACATTTGTACCTAATGTAGCAAGCTGTGCAATAGAAAACTCATAAGTTTCTTCAGTTTCTGCAGCTCTACATGTTATTGCTCTAAATGCGGTCATCAATGTCTTATACCGCGAGGCTTGTTGGAATTTCACATCTACTTGAATGTCATTCCCCGTAATGTCCTTAACAGTTTCGGCTCTTGCTTGTTTCATCCACCTTTTTAGAATGTATTGTGGATGAACCTCTTTCATCTTCAATATGTCTCTAATAACCTTCAATGAGTGACAACACAAAATTCCTTCCATTTCAAACTTTGGACAATTACAACCCAAAGAGCCATCCCTCTCCATCTTCACTTTCCTTGTATGATTGCTACCAACATCAACAACTGTGTAAATGGTACTAGCCTCGCCTTATTCAATTGCTTCTATGTCCGATTCAATGGATTGAAAGTACTCATTTTGAAATTCCTCAAAAATATTTTTTGTGTACACATTACCCATTTGAATTAACATTCTTATTGTCGCTTTCACCTTTGGCAACCTTTGGCACAAAGCATATCTTGCTTCTAACTCCTTGTATCGCTTCTCATAAAGTACCCTTTTGAAATGCATGAAGAATTCATTTAAATTAAAATCAGAATGAATGTAATCCTTCAAAAAAGCATTAAAAGATTCACTAAGTTGTGTGGTACTCATTCCCGCAGCCCATGTTGATCTAACATGTGGCCCAGCCCCATTTTTCTTTCACCACAAAAGTCAATTTCAACCAATGGTCTTCATGCGCATCATATTTATCAAGCATTTCTGCCCACTCTAACTTCCATTGATTTGCATCTTCAATGTCAAACAAGAATTTATTTAGTACACCATTTACCCCGCTTATCTTGGAACAGACAATTAACATGTTTTAATGCATTTTGCATCGAATGCTAAGTACACAATCGGTGACTCGTGTCAGATATAACGATGGGTATGGCTTTAGCCATTGCAGCATCTTGATCGCTGAACAAAGTTTTTGGTGCCTTTCTTGACATAGCCTCTAGAAAATTTTGAAACAACCATACAAATGATTCGGCGGTCTTATCATACAACAAAGCTGCACCAAATATAACTGTTTCCCTATGATGGTTGAATCCCACAAAAGATGCAAAGGGTCTATGTTCTTTGTTTAACTTGTAAGTCGTATCAAATGTGACAACATCACCAAATTGGGCATAATCCATGATCATTTGTGCATCGGCCCAAAACATATTTGTTATTTGCTCCTCATTATCTAATTGAAAAGCATAAAAAAAAGAAGGATTCTACAAATATTTTTCTTTAAAGTATTGCAACCCATTGCCTACTTCCCCATATGCTAAACTTTGTTGTCTTTTGGTTCTCAAATAATTTTTTTGATCTAATTTCGTAAACCCAAGACATTGCCTCCCACCAGCTTCCCTACCCATGAGTTCAAAAGACTGGCCTAAACAAAGACCAGATTGTGCCGCCAAATCTAACTCAATTGCTTGGATAGTCGATATCTTTCTTTGTGACGGCAACATGTGGGCACACTCTGGTGATAGAAGATCATGGTTGTGTTTTTCTTTGAAATCAGTCACAACAAATTTCCCAGTACTCTCATCTAATTTAATATAAAGTCAAGCCTCACAACCAGTCCTAGTTTCAGCTCTAGGGTTTTTTGCCAATGCGTCTCACTTGTCAACCTTCCAAAATCCCTCCTTGTTACAAACCAAAAGTCTACAAATAAGTTGGTTAGTGAACTTGTTCTTCCTACAATAATCCTTTCTTATGCTAAACCCTATTCTTCCTCCATATGTATTATAAAAATCATATGCACAATGTTAAGAATCAAATGTCATTCCCTGTTTTGGCTTCCAAGCACAATCATTCTCAGGTTCCATATCTATATCAAAATGCAACTGAAAAACCATATAAATAAAATCTTAGCTACATAAATTAAATCTTTATTTCAGAGACAAAAAATTCTAGAGACAAAAACTTAAAGACAACAATTCTAGAGACAACAAATTCCAAAGAGGAAATCCATATAGGCCTCAATGAATTGAAGCTTAAATAAAAATATATCAAATAAACAATCATGAGAAAATGGGTCTTAGATTTCAGGTCTGCTTTTTTGTGATTTTCATTCAAATTTTGGTTGTAGCAGCATCTACCAACTCAATTGATGGTAAGCTTGCTTTTTGAGTTATTAGAAATTTGTGTTTCTTTGTCTATTCCGATGTTAAATTGAATATCACATACAAAAAACAAAAGGTTTAAGGCCTATTTGATTGTGTTTTTGTTTTCTGTATTTTGTTTTCATTTGGCAATGATTTACTGTGTTTTTCATGCTTCTATGTCCTCAGTATGCTGGTAGTATTTCATTTATATTTTCATGCTCTATTTGTTTTATAAATAACTTTTTCTTGATTTAGAGTTTGTTAAAAACCCATGAAGCCATCATCAAATTTAGTTCGACCTTTTATCTATAGTTTAAAAATTTGTTAAAACTAGATATAATTTCTTGTTGTGAATCCTATAGTCGACCCCAATTGATTGGGATACCACGCTTGATTTGATTTGACCCCAATTGACCCTAATTGCTTCTATTTCTTCGCAATTCCAGACACAAAAAATAATTCAAGACATAAAAAAATATTCCAGACAGAAAAACTTAGAGACTAATTTTAGTTTGAAAAAATTCAAAACACACATTTTTGGGAAGAGGATATGTTTGAAGCTCAATCAAACATAATCAATAATCAATTACAAAGACAGAGACAGAGACAAATAATCTTGTCAATTGAGGATATGCTGAAATTGCTTTTCAGAGACATTATTTGAGCTTAACAATGGGTTTAGCTAAACAAAAAATGAGGGCAAAGCAAATAATGAGGTTGTTAATCACAAATAATGGGTTAAACAAGCTCAAATGAGGTTGTTAAACAAAAAATGAGAGCAAAGCAAATAATGAGGGCAAAGCAAATAATCACAAATTAGCAAATAATATATATATATATATATATATATTTGTGATTAACAAAAAATGAGGGCAAAGCAAATAATGAGGTTGTTAATTTTTTGTTAAGCAGAGACAAATGGGTTTAGTTTGAAGCTCAAATAATGGATGTATGTTTGAGCTCAAATAATCTTGAGAACAGAGACAAATAACCCATTGCTTTATCAAACTAATTTCAGTTTAAAGCTCAAATAATCAATTATAGAGACAGAGACAATGAAGAAGACTAACCTCTGGTTTGCGAAGTGAGGGTAGATAGAATGAGGGCAAAGCAATGGGTTCGGTTTGGGGAGTGGGTCGCTGTAGAGAGGGTCTGCCGGTGCGACGGGTTCTGTGAGGTGGAGGAAAAGAATGTGACGGCTTTGGTTTGCCAAGCAGACAGAATCTGTATTGGGTTGAGAGTGGCTCATCGTCGTCGGATCTGCAACAGCGTCGAGAGTGGGTTGTCGCCAATATTGGGTCACCGGTGAGGGTGGGTTCGACGGTGGAGAAGGGGTGAGCGTGAGGCTGTGTGAGAGTGCGCATCAAATCTATATAACCTCTGTATAAGCTGTGTTTTGTTTTGGGTTGGAAACTGAAATTTCAATTTCATATATATATATATATATATATATATTTTATGGCCGTTGGATGTGCAACGGCTGATCTCAACCGTTACAAGTAGGAGATGAAGTAGGATTCTCAAGGAGGGGATCCAAACTCGGGGGAGGGGGGTGGTTTTGAATCTTGATGGGACTGTTGTCCTATGTGGCATGTTTGCATCAAGGGCTAAGAATATTTGGTGTAGAATGGAAGGCTGAGATTAGTGATAATATATATATTTTTAAAATTCTTCTAAGATTATTTACATGAAGTTGAAAAATATTATTTTAATCCCTTAAATTATTAAAGTGTATAAATAAATCACTTAAATTATTAAGCAATATCATTTTACCCCTTAACTAAAGGAACGTATAAATAAATCTTTAAACTATAAAAGTGTATAAACTGGACCTTCTAATAGAAGGGATTAAAGTAAAACATGCTAATAGTTTAAAGGGTTCATTTATACGCTTTTATAGTTTAGGGGGTTCATTTATACATTTTTTTAATTTAGGAGCAAAATGACACTCTTCAATAGCTTAAATAATCTATTTGTACACTTTTATAATTTAAAATATTAATTTATACACTTTTATAATTTAAAGAACCAAAATAATACTTTTGAATAATTTAAATATCTTCATGTAAATAACTCTGTCTTTTATTCTTCTCAATCTTCTCTCTATTTGCACTTTCCTTTTAGCCTTCCCTTTCTATCTCCCTATGAATTCACCGGCAATATCTCTCATTTTCACAATCGCAGCTTGCTTCCATCGCACACTTTGTCCTTCACTCTCTCTGTGGTGCCATCTTCTTCTTCGAAGATTTTTTGGGGTTTAAGAATCAGGAGTTGTTTGAAATGATCTAATTATACTTTTTACAAAAAAATATGCAAAAAAATAAAAAAATAATGTAATCTAAAAAAAGATTAAAAAAAAATATCAACAATGATACATCTCTCAAATGATACTCACGATTTCTTAGGTCTCTCAAACAATTTCTACAATTTTGTAGTATCTTTCCGTTTTTTTGTTCGTATAATGGTGAAGCTGGATGTCTAGGTATGAATTTCTTCTAAAATCATTTTATGATATTTGATTTCTTCTTACTGTAGGTCAACAATTTTGGGGTTTTTGATATAATCAAATGTATAAATTTTATTTCTCACAATTTTTTTTCTTTATTTCATCTATTTGTTTACTCATAAATTTTTTAACAAAAACATTTTATATGGTTCATCTCATTTAAAATTTAAAAAAAAAATCATGAAATTTTGTGGTATATCTATTGTGTGGTTTTTAATATTTTTATAAGTTTCATGAAATCTGTTTGTTTTTTTTATTATACCATTTACTATTTTATATTTTTATTAATGTGTATTAGCGGAGATTTTGTAGCATTCCTTAGTTCAATGATAGTATGGCTTGGTTTGGGAAATGGGTTGGCTTTTTAACTTTTTGATTTTTTTAGCTATTTTAGTCTGACGCTAAAAAGTCTGGTTTGGGAAGTACTTTTGGTTTTTTTGTGAGAGAAAGAATGTAATGATTATGGGTTAGATGTGATGTTTTGTCTTATTGGAGTTAAAAAACCTATTTTGTTTTTTGTGCCTATTTTAGCCCCAAACCCACCTAAATCCACTTCCCAAACAATGTCTATGGTGAAACTGGGTCTAAGGTATAAAAGCCATTGTCTAGAAGCTGGTTAATGTTTTAAACTTGGTTGCTAAGCAAATTGGTGGTTTCTT